CATGCTATGCTAACACAGCCAATTGCAATTTGGTGATATGATACAAGTATGATACAAGTCAGTGGGAAGATGGATGTTATCAGCTGAATGCTTTCAGCATCTTTCAAGGCTAAAAGAAACTGGCAGTCTGCCTTTAATTATGTCAAGATGAAGGCTGGGAAAATGTTAGAAGAGTATTGCATTAATTTCTATCAGTGTGAACTGTCAGAAGAAGAGGGGACCAATTGGGCACATAAGGATTGCATGTAACCTATAGTACAACCTGTATTAATGGTATTTAATGGTTACTTGTCATAGCTTGAACAATGCAGTTCTACAATAGATAGTTCTATTATAATTCTGTAGTTTTATATCACCTTCATCAACCAAGTCAGAACATTCCTCTTATATAATCACCTGTCTTTTTGGAATGTCTCAATCTTTATTGTATTTGTTTTAAGTTCTAAATATGGTATCTGTTTCATAATTTTAAGATAGGCTTTAGAAGATTTCAGCTACATTTCTACATACATTTACTAGACATAGGTCTCGCTTAAAATAAGTAGGACTTATTTCTGAATAAATAAGTATAGCGTGACAGAAGGAAAAGGCAGCAGAGAAAACCATGTTTCTTTTTCCTCCAGTGGGGAAAAGTAAGGGGCTAGACACTATTAATTGGAGAAATGCTTCACATATAATTGTGAAATGGTGATACATAGATGATTGAGTAAACATAAACTACTCCATGTCATCTGTGACAGAAAGAATATAATTTAAGAGTCAACTCAAGTTACGCAAGAAGAAATAAATTCCCTACAGAGGTACATGTCAGATTTCTCAAAAAATCAATAAGAGATGAGATATTGAGAAGAGTCAGAGATGACCCATTAAGGAAAAAGAAATTGTAGTCTTGAAGCAGATACATAGGAGGATAAGAGATTCACAAAGAGACTACCAATTCTTGATCAAAAAATTAATTAAAAAGGAGTTTTAGATGGCTGATGCCAGAGGGGATATTATTCAATTGGGACTCCAAAAGATACAGATTGGATTCTGTCTTTAAAGCAATGGAATTTTATGAGAGACACAGAGTTTTTTTGAAGAAGGAAGCTCAGAATTTCAACCAGAATGGGAATCCAGAAAATAGGAAGAAACAGCAATAAAAGGGGCAGCCAAACAAAGGGAAGAAGAAGATATAGAAAACACAAATCAAGAAGAAGGGGCAAAGGGAAAAGAACAGAGACAGACAAGAACAATTAAAACAGTGGTGGCAAACTTATGGCACATGTGCCAGAGGCGGCATTCAGAGCCCTCTCTGTGGGCATGCACGCTGTTGCCAGAGGCGGCATTCAGAGCCCTCTCTGTGGGCATGCACACTCCCCTTGTGGTCTCCTTCTCACCAGCAGCCCTCCCAGAGGAGAATCGCCCCCAAGCATGACCCATGTGGAGCAGCGCAGCCAAGGACATGGCAGCCAGGCAGTGGGGACAAGACTCCACCCTCGCACCCCACCACAGTTGATGCTGTGGGGTGCAGGCAGAGAGTTTGGCTGTCATGGTGCTTCTGGGCTGCTTGGGCGATCGGCGAGCTGTGGATGCAGTGGGTGGTCATGCAGGTGGGGTGCAGCGGGAGTGGGGCGGGTGGGAATGGGTTGGGGCACTCAGTCTCTAAAAGGTTTGCCATTACTGAACTAGAAGAATAAAATCTAAATATAATTGAAGAAGCTGGAGAAGGATAATGGGATTCTCTCAATGAATATAAATGGATTGAACTCCCCTTTTAAAAGGATAAAAATCTTTACATGACAATAAAAACTCAAAAGGGATATAGTTTATCTGCAAGAAACACATATTAAAAGACAACATTATAAATTTCTGGAATGCCCGAAAATTGGGAAGCTTTTCTTTTCATCAGCCCAACAAAAGAAAAAGAGGAGTAGCTTTATACATTAACGAAATAATGAACCCAAAACAAATTTATGCAGATGAAGAAGGAAGAATACTAATGGTGGAAATGATGTTAAATAAAAAACAGACATTGATGGTAGCAATCTATGCACCGAACAACAAAGAAGAATTTTATCAAAAATTATATAAGAAAATTGTGAAAATGGAATATCAAAATATTTGCTTAGTAGTAGATTTCAATGCAATTGTAGATGCAAAGCTAGACTACAGAAGTAGTAAAATAGGGAAAAAAGATAGAAACATTTTACCTAGGGCTTTTTTAAAATGGCAGAAGAAATCCATATACGGGATATATGGAGAGAAAAACCCAAAGAAATCTCAATATATATTTTACTCAAATAGGCATAAATTTTATAAAAGTATACAAGATATACTAATCCCATTAATGCAAGAAGTATGTAATGAAGTATTAGTAGAAACCAAACTACCAAATACTTGGATAGAAGCCAATGTCAACTTAATACCAAAAGAAGATTCAGGCTTGACTCAGTTAAAGAATTATAGACCAATATCGTTATTAAATGTGGATTACAAACTTTTCGCCTCAATAATAGCAGAAAGACTAAAAAGATTTTTGATTGAATTTATACATTCAGATCAAAATGGATTTTTACTAAAGAGACAATAAAGAACAACCTAAGAATGATCTTAGATACCTTGGAATATTACGAAATGCATCCAGGGAAATAAATGGCATTAATCTTTTTACATAGATGCGCAGAAAGCTTTTGATAATGTCAACTGCCAATTTATGGTACAACAATTAAACTATATGGACTTTGGAGAAAACTTTATAAATATAATTAAAACAATTTACCGTAGACAAATGGCTAAAGTAATTGTAAATGGAGATTTTACAGAGAATTTTAATATTAAAAAAGGTACAAGACAAGGGTATCCACTATCTCCAATCATTATTTACAACTCTGGAAGTGCTGAATAGAAATGTTAGACAGGACCCAGAAATTAAAGGTATGGAGATAATAGATGAAAAATATAAATTACAAGCATTTGCAGATGATTTGGTATTTATATTAGAAGATCCCTTGGAGACAAGCCCTAAATTATTGACAAAGATTGAAGAATTTGGAGAAGTAGCAGGATTGAAAATAAATAGAGATAAGACTAAAGTGATAGTTAAAAACCTTACAGATAAACAACAAAAAAAAATCAATTGTCAGAAAAAAACAGATCTCCAGATAGTTAAGAAAGTTAAATACATTAAATACCTTAACAGCAAGATATGAGACATTAAAAGAAGATAACTATTTTAAACTGTTAAAACAAATAAAATCAGATTTGGAAAGATGGAAAAATTTACAATTATCAATCTTGGGAAGAATACCAATGGTGAAAATAAATATTTTACCAAAACTACTTTTCCTGTTCCAAACAATAGCTATAAAATTAGAAAACATTTTTTTTTGATGAGCTAAATGCATTGATTTTGAAATTTATCTGGCAAGGGAAAAAAGCCAGAATAAGACTGAAATTGCTACAAGCAAAAGCAAATGGAGGATTTGGCCTACCAGACTGGGTTCTATATTATCAAGTGGCTGTGTTAACATGGTTAAAAGAGTGGATAACCGTTAGATACAAAAGATTACTATGTGTAGAGGGACATGACCTACAACTTGGATGGTATGCTTTTCTATGGTATGGGAAGAACAAAATACACAAATACTTTCAAAATCATTATATAAGAAATGCCTTACTTCTGACAAGAAAAAGATAAAAAGATAAAAATGAAAATTTATTTGAAAATACCAGGATGGATCTCTACAATGGAAGCGTTTGTGCACCCAAATTTAATCAACTATGAGAAACTGGTGACATACAGAGACAATTTGAATCTGATGGAAAATTACAAACTAAACAAGAACTGGAAGAACAGGGCATTGAGCTATCATGGTGGCCACACTTGCAAATGCAAATGAGATACGAAAAAGATGCTAAAATATATAGTTTTTATAAAGATTGCAAACAGAGTTTGACCAGATATTATTGTCATCAGATGAAAAACTGATTAAAAAACTCTATAAATTTTTGTTACACCTGAAGATGGAAGATGAACAAGTTAAAGAAACAATGATAACTTGAGCAAAAACTTTTGGGCACAATACAGAATTAGAAAAATAGCAACATTTGTGGGAAAGATATTATAAAATAACAAGGGCAGCTACTTATAAAGAAAATTTATATAAAATGTTTTATAGATGGCATCTACCACCTGGAAGATTAGCAAAAATATTTAAAAACATGTCTAGTAACTGTTGGAAATGTAGGCAAAAGCCAGGCGTGTACTATCACCTTTGGTGGACATGCCCTAAGGCAAAAAAAAAAATTGGTCAAAAATACACATGTGGTTAGAAAAAATTGTAAGAAAACATATAGATTTTAAGCCAGAACTATTTCTTCTAGGTATAATTACAGAGAACTATGACAAAAATGTATATATTTAAAATTACATGTAGCAGTGAGAATTACATTTGCACAGTATTGGAAAAATGAAGAAACACCAGCGGAAGAAGATATAATTAGGAAAATTTTGGATTGTGCGGAAATAGATAGGCTTAAACTGAAAATGAAAGGGAAAAAAGATACAGAATATTTTCAAACGGGGGATAATTTTTATAAATGGCTAGAAAAACGCAATAGAGAGTAGAAATGGAAGCTGTATTACTATTAATGTTAATTATATGAACCCAGACAACACGTTGTTAGACACTAGAGATTTGTAACTATAAAAACTTAATAAAATATTTGTATTAAAAAAAGAAATAAATTGTATCATGTTCCTTTAAAAATAAATGTTATTTTCAAATTCTAGTGTGGATATGGCAATTCCTGTGACTATGAAAAATCACTATTTTGGAACATCAGGTCTTAGTTTTTCACTAAATTAGATCATGTCCCTTAATTTATAGTAAAAGAAATCATAGGAAACGGTACTGTGACAAAGTTTCATCAAGATTCTTCCATGCACCGCAATAGGTTTGTGGTTTTATCTGGAGATGATCAAAATATTGCAATAAAATGTCATCTTTTTTTTATAGCACTGTTCGGATATGGGATTACACACAAGATGCTTGTATCAATATTCTTAGTGGGCATACAGGACCAGTACGAGGATTGTTGTGGAATACAGAAATACCTTATCTATTGATATCTGGCAGTTGGGATTATACAATCAAAGTATGGGACACAAGAGATGGTACATGCCTGGACACTGTGTATGATCATGGTGCAGATGTTTATGGTAACATGTTTGATTCTATGTTTTTGTACATTTTATATTCCTTTTGAAAATCCTATTATTTTAAAATATTACATTGAAATTCCTTAATTCCTTTTCTTTAGGATTAACTTGTCATCCTAGCTACCCTTTCACTATGGCCTCTTGTTCCCGAGATTCCACTGTGAGACTTTGGTCTTTAACACCTCTGATAAATCCTCTCCACTTATGCATCTTGGCAGACAGATCATGGGATGAGATAATTGGAAACATTGGTGAGTAAATGATGGCTTTTGTGAAAGGCTGTGGAATATCTCTAATACATTTATAGTGGTACCTTGGTACTCATTGTTAATTTGTTCTGGAAGGCACAATGAGTACAAAAATGATGATTACCAAACATTTTTTTCCATAAGGAATAATGTAGTGAGTCACAAGGCAGCCAACACCGACAAGTTCTAGCTTGTGCATTAAGTACCAAACAAATGTTAAGTACCAGGAAAATTTTTGCATCAAAATGTGTTAAGTACCAAATTCGATGAGTTCCAAAGCAGTTGAGTACCAAGGTATCACTGTATTTTCTTCAGGTCATACATGAGTTATATTCTCTTTTTCACTCTAAGCCAGAGGTCCCTAACCTTTTGGGCACCAGGGACTGGTGCCATGGAGAAAGGTTTTTCAATGGACCAGAGGGGATGTGGTTTTGCGTACTATCTGCATCCCATGGATGGGGCTTCGCTTGTTCGTTCAGCCTGGTTGCTTGCATGCTATGGGCCGGTGCCAGTCCATGGACTGGAGGTTGGGGACTCGTGCTCTAAGCATTATACACAATTCCTATTGATATTGTATTTTCATTATCCCTCTATTTTTGCAGGTTGCTGTATGTTGATAATTAAATATGTTGATGGATTTGGTACACATTTTACTTCCATATTTGCCCCCCTTATTAGAGTGAACATACATCTTTTTTTCACTGTTTGGAATTGATTTTTCTTTGAAGTATTTTTTGAGTCAGATTTCCTGAAGTTTTAGAGATGTATTCTTCTCTTTAAGAAGTAGCAATAGTTGTAAAATAGTTGTACAAATAGTGGTAGTACTGGGATAATATAATGCTGTAAAATAATTAAATAGCTGTTTGTTTATACATTTATTTATATACAAAATTAAATATCTTTTAATTGTATTGCTTTATTGTTTGTGTTTAGGTATAAGCATGTATCAAATAAAAATACTACTTTTAATACACCTTATTAATGTACAAATAAATAAGAACAAATAAATTTGACAAATTCCATATGAAGACATCTATTCCTATTTCAGCTGACATTATAGTTTATTATGTTCATGAATGTTAACAACTTTATCACAAATGGTTTTGCATAACTAATGGTGAAACAGAATCTGAATTCTTACTGAATAACAAACTATACTCGGGGACTCATTCTGATACCCATTAAACATTCTATTTTCTTGCCTGACTTAAAGAAGATTTGCAATATGAAAACTGTAATACTGGAAAGCAGATTTAATAGAAACAGACATAAGAAATGTTCAGGATAATTGCCCATACCACAGAACAATATAGATGGTGAAATCTGTTAATACATTACTGTAGAGTCCCTAGGTGAAATTGAGAGGGTCAGAAAACCAAGTTTGGCATGCACAGTTGTCTTCATCTATGAGATAAAATATATGTTGATCTTATGTTCAATTTTCTTTTCAAATATTTTGATTATTGGTTTTTAATAGATCGTGCAGTTGAAATAGGTGCTCCTCCTTTGCTCTGTGGGAAAGTATCTAGGGATATTAAACAAGAAATAGAGAAGCTAAATAGTAATCCTCGAGGAAAAAAGCTAAGGTGGTTTTCAGAATGTTTATCAGTAAGTATTAATTTTTTAAAATATATATATACGCAATGTAGAATTTTCATTAACAGTCTCTATTGTATACAGATTAATATTGAATTTAGAGTTCACTGAAATTGGCTTAGTCAGAACATAGGCTTATTGATTTAAGTGGGAATTAAATGGTACAGATTTGAATCATTCTGAACGATTAAACTTCTATATGTAATATAGAAGCCCTGCAGGTTTTTTGTGTTATTTGCTATCCGTTAAAAGATTTTATTATAAAGACTAGAAATACCTGAAAATTACAGAGGAAAATTTGAATTGTATAAAGACTTTATTATGATCTTAGGCTAGAAAAAACTATACATAAGTAATCCAAAGGCTATATTATGCAAGGTTCATAAATGAAAGTACAATACCAGGGGATACTGTATCTTGCAATTATATAATTTATTTATTGAATTCATATCTTCACTATATGATTTTTTTACTAACAGCAGCATAACTAGTCCTTATATTACCAGTTAAATTGCTGATAATAGCTAATTCTTATATTACCAGCATGCACAGAAAAATTAGTTCCAACCTAAAATAATAAAATTTTATAGTGACAGAAATAGCAAAAAATCACAGACACTTAGAAATAAAGAGCAACTATGGAGCCTCTCTAAATTCCCTGAACCCAGTCAATATAATACTTTCCGGAGAGCATCTCGAAAAAGACGTTAATTGCAGGCTGTATTCTAATATGGCATTAACAATATTTTCCTTTTTTAAAAAAATAATTCCAGCCCCGAGGAGGCAGTAAAAACTTATGGGATCTGGTTGCAGTAATAAAGGGTCAAGATGATAGTTTGCTCCCACAGAATTATTACAAAGGAATTATGCATATGAAACATTTGGTTAAATTTAGAATGGTAAGTTGTATTCAGACTGAATATCTTTACATTATTTTGGATTTTGCAGTGCATGTCTGTGTAGCCATAATTTTTCTCACAGATCTGCAAAAATGAATTTGCATTGCCGTATGAGCCTCCTTCCCTCTGTTTCTTGGGGCTGGGGAGAGAGAAAAGGCAAGTGGAAAAAGGCAAGCAAAAAAGTGTGGTATTTCAGCTTGTCCTTATTTCTTCCTATTTCTGATTATTTCCTCTCATTATTTGCTTTGGTAGCAAAGGAGAACAAGAGTGACTTAGGCAGCACAAATGGCAAAGTGCTTCCTTTGATCCCTCCTTATGAATTACAGTGATGCACTCCAGGGACTAGAGTACTTTGGCTTCAGTCCTGGGGGAGTAATCCAAGGAGTTGGGAACGCTTGCTAATTGGAGACTGTCTGCTCCCACATCTCTAGAGAAAATGTTGAAAACTGTCTTCTCAATTAAACTGAGCAGAAGTTTAATTGACAACTTCATTGGAACTGTGGGGACCCAGAGTGCAACACCAATTACAGACCAGTATAGCTTTAATGAGAGGAAGCCTCATAGTTATCAAATATTTGCAAAGAATATTTGTAACAAAATTCTCTAAAACAGTATTGATGGGAGAAACATTTGAAACCCATTCTTGGACATTTCTTTCTTTTTTAAAATATCTCTTCTTGCACTTGAGCCATTGAATGGCAGTGATTACAGATCTAAATGTTTTTTACTCTATATTTAGTTTAGCTTACATTTTTCCTCATTAGATTAAGCATGGTAGTTACAAATGATAATCAAACAAATGTCAAAATATACAATAATTCTGTTCTGAATTACTATGCATATTTTACTACTTTAGTTATACAAGAATAGAAATACTGTGTTTTTCTTTTTCAGAAGAATTTTCATTGTAATGAAACTTTTATTACAAAAACTACAGTATTGGGTTGAATTATTGTGAAGTTTTGTAAGAAATATTTTAAACCAACAGATCAACATCCAGCTTTTGTTACATAGGCTACAGAAATGACAGAAACCTTATCTTTTTGCACTTAATAATGGACCACCTTTTTGTACATTTTAAATTATCTACATCTGAAACATTTGGGATGTTTCTGCAAACACATCTGCAAACTGAGTTGAAACAAAGAGATGTACTTTTCTTCAGCATGATTTGCTCCCAATGAATTCCATTTAAGGTTTGCTATAAATGTCCACACAAAAAACATTAAAAGAAGACAGTTCCTGCAAATCAGAAATGAACTGCCCAGGAATATACAAGAGGAGCCACTGGTCCTAAGGCACATGTATTATCTTTTGCCAGAAAAGCTGCCTTTGTGTAACTAGGTGATCTACCAGAAAGAATTTTGCTTAGAGCAGTAGTTCCCAACCTTTTCTATACCATGCACCCCTAGAACCTTTCTGATATATTCTTGCACCCCTTACAAAAGTTGGAAATAACGGCAATGAATTATGCATATATGCTATAATTTTGAAACTTCTAAACCCAAGTTTTCGCACCCCCTGGAATATTTCTCGCACCCCCAGGGAGTCACAAATAAAAACAGATTTGTTTGAGTACCCATTTATATCAGGCATTCATTCTCTCTTTTCCATCTTCCACATAATCATAGCACTATTAACTACTGTATCTGATGGGAACAATTATGTTAAATATGAACCATTCTAGAGATGGAGAGAACCTAACTATATGACAATTGGTCATATATTAAGAAACCAGCTAAGCATGAAATGAAAAATACATTTTCTTTCTAATTTAGGCAAAATTAATATTGAAGTTCTACTGAACTGTTTCTTTGATTAAAAAAAACTATAAATATTTTTGATTGTCTCCCATATCAGATCAAATCCAGAAAGATTTTGGAATGGTTTTTACAAAGTAGATCGGTTAAGAATGATAGGGCAAGACACTCTCCACTTTTTCCTCTTCCAGCATCTACCCACCTACTTTTCCCAGCACCTTCTCTTCCCTGTCTGCTCTGATCCACTAACATTGCTAATATCCTACTTTTTCCTACCTTTCCTCTCCTGATTACTTCTGTACGGAACTACCTATATTTGTATCTTTTCCCTGAATAAAACAGCTTCATTTTGTTATGTATACAAATCAAAGCACATGTGTTTAGGCATGGACCTCCCAAATATTTAAATGTTCAGAACAGTTCATGCATGCAACATTTTGCACATGTCTTAGAAACAATTTATTTTGGTTTTATTCTTGTAGTCCAAAGCACAAGAACTTACAACAGTAAAGATGTCTAAATTTGGAGGAGGCATTGGTATACCTAGCAAGGAGAAAAGGCTAAAAGAAGCAGCAGAGATATATCTGAGACTAGGTCAAATTCAGAGATACTGTGAACTTATGGTGGAGCTTGGAGAGGTAAGCACCTGGACAATTTTAGACTACATAATATATTATATGCAATGCTAATATCGTAAATTATTTTAAATGAAAATATTGGGGAAAAGGGAGCAAAAGACACTGCAAATAATCTAAGGAGTAAGAGTTATTTTAAAATAAGTAAATGGTGGGCAACTTGTCAATTATTTTTTATATAAATGGTCTTCTGCTTCTAATTTTAATATTTAATATTTGAGTAAAATCTATCTCTGTCTATGTATTATATGATTACTTTTAATAAATCAGTTCCGTTCAGTTATACTTTAAGCATATAATTCTTTGATACTTCCCCAAAAAAGATTTTATGGTGTATTTGACTTGTCTCAAATACTGTCTATAATGGTTAAGGCATTAGGCTATAAACTGGGAGGCTGAATTTTAGTCTTGCTTTAGGCACAAACCAAGCTGGGTGATTTTGGGCCAGCCACTCTGGGAAGAAACCCTAGGAAGGAAGTAATACCAAACCACTTCTGAAATCCTGCCAAGAGAGCTGCAAGAACTTAGCCAGGCAGCCACAGGAGACCAAACAGTGTATGGACATTCCAAGACAGTCCAAATATTTTCAACTTTTATATTAATTGCTACTAAAATACTACTTTTTCTATCTTTTTATTATTAAAAAAGTGAAACTAACTATATAATGATTATTAGAAGTAATAATCCATCAGGAAGTACCTAATTGTCCATGAGGACGTGTCCCTTGAAGTAAACATTTTTTTTCCAATTTTGTCTTGGACAGTGAGAAATGATATACCAATTTCTTTATTGATTTTTGTTTTCCTATAGAATTCCTTTATAAATAAAACTGAAAAATTAATGTGATATTTTAGCTGTCCTGTTAGAAAGAACTAACAAAAGTAAAAGTAAAGACTATTAAACACATGCACAATCCGTGGTGAAAATAATATTAGGCACAATTTATTGTTTCAGTGGGATAGAGCACTGTCAGTTGCACCAGGAGTATCTATGAAATATTGGAAGAAATTAATGCAAAGGTAAGATTTTTTTAAAAAAAGTGCACTGCAAGTTCACATTAACTTCAACTTTTGCAGCTGGAAGTGTAATGCTTGAAGGTAGGTTTTTTTGCACAGTTAAATGTATATTTTTGCATAAGAAAATATCTCAATTTTAACTAAGATATAGAAATTACCTATTGTCTTTCACTTTTCCCATCCCCCTCTATAAAAACGCACACATGTACACACATATATTTTGATGAATGCTACTACAATGGTAGATCTAATGAAGAAAGTATATATGAAATGTTTGAAGGAAGTATGGATGGGTAAGACCTACATCCATACTAACTGAGAAACAGCTTGTTACCAACATTTCAACATAATGAAAAGGAAACTGTTCTTAGAACTTCTAATGGAGCAACTACACATTATATCTTGGCTCAAAAGGACCCAGAAGAACAATTGGAGGTGTAACCAACACTATCACCCCTACATTAAAGAGGAGGCATTCAACAGTAGATCAAGAACCTGAAGAGCTGGAAAGCACCCAGCCCTGACATGAACCACACCTGGTGGCTAAAGAAACTCTAGCAATGCATGAATACCTAGCACTACAGATGTACCAGCTACTAATAACAAGCTCTTCCATCTATAATGAACAGTGCTGATCATGAAAGACAACCCCCCCTCAAAAGAACAGCATCATCCAATTACCAGCCAGTAATCTGCCTCCCCATAACATGGAAAGTGCCAGTAGGCATTATAGCTGCTAAGCTACAGGACCATATAAGCAACTAATATGAGTAGCGCTCAGAAGAGCATTGGATATAACACTACTGTAGAGGCTCAAAACACCAGTTGTTCATTGATAGAACAGTTCTCCAAGACTCAAGGTCTACATAGACCAATTTGAGTACAGCCTTGATTGACCACAAGAAGGCTTAGCTCGGTACCACACCCAAGGATCTGTGTATGCTTGGCACTATACAAAGTCAACAGAAAACTAAAGACTTTTGTCAAGGACTCAGTGGAACTAAGGAAGACAATGGAATTCAACTCAAGACAGCTTCCACAAATGGGAATCAAGTGTGGCATATACCAAGATGATATACTGCCCTTGCTGTTGTCCTGCATATATTTGAATCCCATCAGCCAGCTAATCACAAGGACAGGATACAGATCCAAAAGTGGATGACCTCAAGCTGTATGTACATCAAGACATGGAGGCTGCTGATGTAAAGGCCCCAAAACTCTTCAAAATATATGGAGTTTCCATCCCTATTCCAACTGAAAAGAGAGCATTGTCAAACCACTGACCTAGAATAAACCCAGAGCATCCAGGAATGTCAGTAAGATGGCGTCCAAAGATGAGCTGCTGAGAGAATGCCTGAAGCAACAGCAGACATGGGATGAAGATCAATTAGAGCAAGGGTGTCAAACTCAATTTCATTGAGGGCCACATCAGCATTGTGGTTGCCCACTGGGGCTGGGTGGGTGTAGCTAGCATGGGCGTGGCCTACTGGGTGGGCATGGCCAGCTTGACATTGCTTGCATCAGGGGTGCCTGGGCAGGCCTGGGAGGGATCCAAGGGTCTCTGGCGGAGGAGGATGGGATTAAGGTGAGTGCTGGGACATGGTCCACTGGAGGAGCTTCACTGTCCCTCTCAGGCCATGCGGGGTGGGCCTGGACGGTGGCACGCGGAAGTCAGCCCTCGAGTTCAGGGACCCCGAAGCCCAGCTTAGCCTAGCCCCACTTCCCCAAGGGGACGCCCCAGCTGCGCTTATCTCCTCCTCAAGGCTGCTGCTGCTGTGCTTGCTCTCCTTGGCCAAGTTGCTCATGGAATTGCAGGAGGGCAAAATGTGTGGGCCAGAGGGAGGCCCGGCTTTGTAACCAAAGCATCCTCAGCGATAGGATGGAAGACCATCAGGAGAGGTCAAGGGGATGGCAAAAGGGCAGCAGGGCTGCTCATGGCCAAGTGCTAAGGCAGGACTTTCCTCAGACCCTTCCTCTCATTATAATCTATCTTCCTTCCTTCCTTTCCCCACTTCCTTCTTTTTCCTTTCCTCTTCATTCTCCTTTCCTTCTTCTTTCTTCCCCTTTTTCCTTTTTGTTTGTCTTTTCTCTTTCCCTTTCTCCTTTCCTGTCCCTTCTTGGATGTTCAAATGCAAAAGGGGAAACATTTCTTGATGCCTCTTTGCCTTGTGATCAAATGGCACTTTTGCTAGTAATATGTGGCCACTTAAAAAACCGAGAACAAACCAGGCTCAGTTTACCCCATGCTTGCATTTAGTGGGGGCGTCCATAGACAACAGTACAGCAGAACTGTCAAAATGGTGGCTGTGATAGTTGAACAGAGCTTCTCTGTTTTTTATGTGCAATAGCTTTAGCATTTAGGAACAGAGGTAAGTTAGTTGCTTTTCTATTAATACATAATCCTTAAAAGAGCTCTCCTGCAGGGACCCTGTCATTGTCTAATTCAGACTGGAAATATAGCAAAGGAAAATATTTTTCCCTACTCTGCTTTGTCCTGTTTTGCTCACTAGAAATGGCTATTTGCAACACACAAGGAAGGGATGCTTTCCTAAGAGTTCACAATTCAAGAATACCATACCAGTGTTAACTTGGATTGCCAATAAAGTCCTGTCTGTGACAAAAGAGAATACAAAATTGCTTCTCCTTTGAGCCCAAGTCTCAATGGATCCAGGATTGAAGCAGAACTGCGTGAAATGGGCCATCTCCAACCAAGTTGCCTCTCCTTCCTTCCTTTTTGTCTTCCTTCCCTCCCTTCCTCCCCCACTCCATTCCTTCCTCCCACCCTCCGTTCCTCCCTCAGTTCCTCCCTCCCTTTTTTCCCTCCCTCCTTCCCACCTCCCTTCCTCCTTCCGTTTCTTCCTTCCACTGTTCGCTCCTTCGCCTTCTCATCTCTTTCCTTCTTGCGCGCTGAGGAAGGGGTGATGAGAGGGGGAGAGATTGCCAGAGTGCTATCCCACATGAGTGGGCGGGAGCTGTCCCAGTGAAAGGAAAGCCTCATGGCTGCAAGGCTGTAGGTGCTGGTAGGAGGGGTGGCGGCGCTGATCTACATACAACCTGGTTGTGTCCATCAAAGCCAGAATGAGCTCCATGGGGCACCCACCCCACCTTATGGATGCACCCACAAGCGGAATCTGGTGTCCCTGCTGGCTGCCTTGCCCCGCAGGCTGACTTCACCCAGGATGCCAGCACTGGTCGTCTCCTGTGCGCACACCCGAGGGACAGGACAGAGGCGGTGGGGTAGCTCCTTGCTGATTCCAGGGCTGCTCCATGGAACCTTTTTTCCTTTCTTCCTTCTCTCCTTCTCATCTTTCCTTCCTCCGCACTCAGGAAGGGGTGATGGGAGGGGGAGAGATTGCCAGTGCTGCCGGGCTGTTCAGTCCATCAAAGCCAAAACATGCTCAGCCTTAGCCCTGGAACCAGCAAGAAGCTGCCCCATTGCCTCTGTCCCACTCCCCAGGTGCGCGCACAGGAGACAGCCAGTGCCAGCATCCTGGGTGAAGTCAGTTTGCAGGGCAAAACAGCCAGCAAGGATGCTGGACTCCGCTTGGGCATGTACCCAGGGGCAGGGCTGCCTCGTCGATCTAAGTCTGAGCGCATTCTGGCTTTGATGGGTGCAACCAGGTTGTAGATCAGTGCCCAGTTGGCCTGGGCCAGGCCAAGGTGCGGCAGGCTGGTCTTTTACTGTTTCCAGAGCAGGTCCCCGGGCCAGACAGAACCACATATCGGGCCGGATGCAGCCTATGGGCCTTGTGTTTGACATGTCTGAATTATAGGGAATGTTATGGCAAGAAAAGATCCTGCATGGAATGTATTATCCTCAGAGATTTGAAATTGAGTAACCCTTCAAATGGCTGTAAAGGGCTGAGGCACTGATCATAACAGCAAAAGAACAGGCACTAAGTATAAGATCCATAGAAGCAACATCTACCAAACTATACAGAACCTGAAGTGCAGACTATGCAGAGATGTCTCAGAGATATTTCAATACATAATGGCAGGATAAAAGATGAAGATAGGAACAGTATACACTGAATGGCACAACCAAGTAGTTGGCATTATATACAGGAACATCTTCACAATGTATGGCCTAGAGCGAGGTCCTCAACCTCTGGGCCACAGCCAACTACCGGGCCATGGCCCAACTACCGGGCCATGGCCCAACTACCGGGCCATGGCCCATTCAGAAGTAGGCTGCCAAAGCAGGTGAATGTGCACATGTCTGTGTGCACATGTGTGCCCACCACTAGCACAAATGGCGCTATTGCTCTCACCCACTGCTCACATGGAACCATCCACTCTTCCTCCCAACTGGTCCGCAAAGCTGGAAAGTTGGAGACTACTACTGGGGTAGACTCTCCCAAGTCCAGGTGGGAAATTGCACAGACTGTCATTGAGAACAAAAAGGCTAAAATCCTGTGGGACTTCCAGATCCATACCAACAGGTACATATTGGCCAATCAACTAGGCATCATAGAATAGACATGGAGCATAACACAGTTGTGGTGATAGGCCTGAAGGTGGAACTAGAGAGGCTTTGGAAAGGGAAGGCCAACGTGCTCCCACTAGTGATAGGAGCCCTTGGGACTATAACTTCTAAGCTTCAGGAGACCCCAGGAACAACACCAGAGCACTCTGTCTAAAGTACAATGCTAGGAACAGTAAAATATGGCATAGGATCCTCAAAATCCCAGACCCTCTGGTAGAGGATCCAAGATTGAACAATACACACACCAATCATAGTGGTGAGAAGCGAATATATATAATTCCATTCTAAAAGTTATTAGGAAAAGGACTGAAGGTGAAAGTACAGATATTATAATGTATATACAGCCATGTGAAAAAGAAAGTACACCCTCTTACAGTTCTATAGTTTTACGTATCAGGCCATAGTAAAAATCATCCGATCCTTAGAAGTTCTTAAAACTTGGTAAATACAACCTCAGATGAACAGCAACACATAACATATTACACCATGTCATCATTTATTTTACAAAAAGAAAGCCAAAATGAAGAAACCATGTTGAAAGCCTAAATACACCTTTACTGCTTCCATAGGTATGAAGAGGCTAAGTAGCAGCCAACTGCTGCTAATCAAGTGCCCTTGATCAATTGATCATCAGCAAGTGTGACTATCTCTATAAAAGCTGAAGTTTTAGAAGTTTACTGGTCTCCAGCATTGAGGTATATATTAACACAATACCAAAGAGGAAAGACATCAGCAATGATCTTAGAGAAGCAATTATTGCTGCCCATCAGTCTAAGAAGGGTCATAAAGCCATTTCCAAACAATTTAAAGTCCATCATTCTACATGTAGTGAGGAAGATTATTCACAAGTAGACAGTTGCCAATCTTCCCAGGAATGGATGTACTAGCAAATTTATCCCAAGGTCCGACCATGCAGTGCTCAGAGAAATTGCAAAAAATCCAAGAGTTACATCTCAGACTCTATAGGCCTCAGTTAGCATGTTAAAGTTCATGACAGTAGAAAGAGAAAAAGGCTGAATAAATGTGATTTCTTTGGAAGGATTGCCAGGAGATGGCCTCTTCTCTCTAAAAAGATAAACAAACATGGCAGCAGGGCTTAGGTTTGCAAAGTTGCATCTGAACAAATTCAAGACTTCTGGAATACTGTTCTTTACACAGATGAGACCAAAGATGTTAGGCTAATTGCACAATTCCAAGTTTGGTGAAAATCAAACACAATCAGCACAATCATGCTAATCATCAAGAATGGTATGGATGGGTGATGATTTAGGCTTATTTGCAACTACAAGACCTGGGCACCTTGCAGTCACTGAGTCAACCATGAACTTGTCTGTATACCAAAGTATTTTAAAGTCAAATGTGAGGCCATCTTTTTGACATCAAAAGCTTGGCTAACATTGCTTCATGCAACAGGATAATGATCCCAAGCACACCATCTGCTATTCAACAGAATGGCTGAAAAAGAAAAGAATCAAGGTGTTGCAGTGGCCCAGTCAAAGTCCAGATCTCAACGCAATTGAAATGCTGTGGCGGGACGTCCTGTGGCTGTGCATAAACAAATGCCCCCAAACTTCAATGAGTTGAAGCAATATTGTAAAGAAGAATGGGCCAAAATTCCTCCACAACAATGTGAGAGAGTGAAAAAGTCATACAGAAAACAATTCATGCTATTGCTGCTAAAGGTGATATCAATGATATCATAGTGTAATAAATCAGGTATTGTTATTCATCTGAGATTGTGTTTTTTAAAACTGATAAGGACCAGATGATTTTTAATATGTAAATTAAAGAACTCAGAGAGGGTGTGTTTCTTTTTCACATAACTGTAAAAATGTGTAATTATAGTAGGAAATTTTTACTGTTCAGAAAAAAATATATAGTTAGAAAAACAAAGAGTGGCTTAAATGATAAAAAGATGGCAGGAGCTCTCTATGAAGAAATTGTCGTTGGAAATTTTCAATTTAAGGAAAAGAAGTTGATGTAATAGAAGTTTATTTTTTAAAGAATGCATGATTTGGAGAAAGTGAGATATAAATGTATCGAGGGCTTTTTTTCTCATAGAACGCCCAGAACGGAGTTCCGGCACCTTTTTTGGATGGACCCTTGTAGGGTAGGCAAGGCAGGTTGTATGACATGTGTGAGTTCCGGCACCTTTTTTTTTTTTAGAAAAAAAGCACTGAATGTATCTATTTTAAACATTATAATGTCAACATTATATACTGAAGCTGATAATGATTCAGAATAAATAAGAAATATTCTTTTCATTCAGCTACAGTTAAAATGTAGAATTCAGTTTCTGAATGCTGCATATGGTGACCACTACGAACTTAAATAACTTCAGAAGTAGACAAATCTATGAAGAATTTAAGGATTAAATACATTTTACCTGTTGGTACCAGTGATTTGTGGATTTTCTTATAAATGTTGGACTTGCAATTGAAACAGTAAAAAGTAATTGATGATATGATCTTGGGACAACACTGATTTGTCATTAAAAAGCAATTTGCAGTGTCACATAAAATGTTTTTCACAAGCCTATGTTCTTTAAAACAATATTAATGAAAATAATTTTAATTAGAATTTCTATGTTTTAAAATCACGTTTTGAAAAAGAATAGGACACATTTGAGAAGATAGGAAAGTTATAGCAATTTATATAAAAATTTCAAGTTCTGCAGATGAATAGATCTAATATTAAACATTAATATTAAACTGAAATGAAAATAAAAAAGTCATTTACTTTTGATTTGATTAGGAGAGCTGACCAATTAATTCAGGAAGAAAATGATGAAGTTATTCCATACTGCATAGCTATTGGTGATGTGAAGAAGCTTGTTACATTTTTCATTTCAAGTGGTCAACTTAAAGAAGCTCTCTTAGTTGCACAGGTACTATTTCATGTGCTTATCATAAGTTAATAAATATTATACATCCTACCATAAGATAAAACTTTAATGATACACTATTTACCTATAGATTCTGGCATTTTTCTTATAGGAAAACTTTAGCATACTGTATAAGAAATACTGTATTTGAATAAATTATCTAAATAAATAATTGAAAAATAAACTGAGCATGTAGCACAACTAAAATAATATTTATTAAAACAATACTTGATTCAGAACATATTGGTATTAAAACTAATAGTAAAACTGTTTTCTACGGTAGCGGCTAACCTGATTTGCAAAGTTAATTATAGATAGAATTATCCTGTATTAATCTTAGAAATTGTCACTATGGAGTTTTAGCTATTTCATTATAAATACGGCAAGTGAAATAATGCTGTTAGGTTGGGACAAGATCTCAGAATGCCAAATATTTAAGTTCAGCATTTATTTGAGTATCTATATAGGCTATAAAATAAAACTTGAGAATTTGGGTTAATAATATCATTGTATTGTGATAATATTTTCAGTAAATTGGTGTCTCCCTACCTCTAACTGCTGCTAAGAGTTATACTGAATAATTTATTAGTTTTAACTCATACTATTTTATTCCAGGCAGCATGTGAAGGAAATGTGAAAGCATTTCAGAGTTCAGCAGCAGATGAGTCAGAATATTTTGAAGGGAATAGCATAGAAAATTACAATGAGTAAGTTTATACAGAAAATAGAAAATGCATTTTTCATGTATTTTTATCTTGGTTATAGATTGAAAAACATTGTATAATAATGGGTCAGTTAAATAATAAAATAAAACATTTTCTTTATACTGTCTGAACAGAATGTTTATAAAACAATATTTTCAGTGTTAATTGTATGCTAATTGTCCTTATGTTTGTTTTGGTTAAAGTTGAAAAATGTAAAAGTAGCTCTTTTAAAAAATGTTTATAGATTGACAGATTAAGACTTTACTTGTCAATTAATCAGTCCAAGAATAAAATGAAATTCAAGTTGAAACGGTTACCACATTGACGATACTTGTGTGCCACTGATAGAATTTAGACAGACAGATAGATTTTGTGGATTTGGTTAAAGAGTTTAAGCAAAATGTTGGAACAATCAGAGAAAGATAAAGTAATCAGTGGATTTAGGAAATTTTAAAGTGGAAAAACTTGGCCTATTTTTGACTGTAAATATTAAAATCATTTCTTTCCTATAGTCTTCGACATAAAGTCAGTAAAGAACTTGCTGAGTGGTATTTTCAGGATGGCTGTGCAGTGCTGGCTGCTTGTTGTCATTTAGCTGTTGAGAATATTGAGGTAAATGATTTTCTTTTTTTCAGAAATAGAAAAGTACTTGCTTTTCTCAATATTTGTACACTTTCAATTTAATAAGACAATGTTGTTCCTTTTAAATTGTTGTTACATCCCAAAGGTATTCAGGATGTTAACCATGGACAATATAAAAGTATATATAAAAGATTAAACCCAGGTTGGTAGATAATTATTTCCAAGTCACCTTTTGTAGGAATAAACACACAGTTACTGTTATAGGGATTAGTACTTTAAAGGCAGACATCTCTCTCTGATCAACTTTTCATACAGGCTTTTCATTGTTGCATGATACTGCACATGGATCATACTACTGTCAGATAAATATGTGCTTGTCCTACAAATGTTTGTAAAATTTGTAAAACCACAGGCAGAAGTAAGGGGAGCAGAAGCGGAAGTATGGGGCATTTTGTAGGAAAGGTGCAGTCCCATTTTAAATGTTGTTAGCTAATTAAGGATGCTTGACATACACTCTGAAGATGAAAGTCTCACATCCATTTCCTAATGGGGATTGATTACCACCTCATTAAAAACAGTCAAACAGTGAGGAATTTGGTGAGGCTGATCATCAGTATTATCAGAAGGGAATGGGATTTATTTTTTTTGCAATGTTCTGCATTAAACATTTTATATATGTGTAGCGAAGCTGTCTGAGAGTGTTTGCAGGAGCTTGGTTGGGAAGGGAGAGATTGGGACAGCTGCTGCTGGCTTTGGGTGTGGCCGGTGTGGCTGGAGGAGAAGATAGAAAAGAGAAGGAGAGGAGGGGGGGCAGTTGCAGTTCGTCAGGTGAAAGTAAAGGGACTGGAAGTTTTATTTGTTTTCTTCGTAAGGAGGATATTTTAAACAGAGGCTAGAGGGGGAGAGAGAGTGGAGTTTTATGGCTTCCTTCATGAGGAGGATATCTCAAACGGAGGCAAGAGAGAGATTGTGTGGAGAAGAGTTGGCAGAGACTCCTAGCCTTAGATTTTAATAATAAAGATAAAGGTGGGGGGAGGGTTTTGACGCTGTAACCTGATTGAAGGAGAAGCAACAGAAAGAGAGGAGAGACTGGTGGTGGCTATAGCTGCTGCAAAGCCTGGAAACTATTTGGACTGTGACTATCACTGCTGCCACAGGTTCTAAGACATTGTGGGGGAGTTGCCCAGGAGGACGAGCTACTGCTACATCACACTGACTGTTGTTGTTTCTACTACTGTCTGGATCCGGGGTTTTCCTCCATCCCATTTGACTCTGAATGATCGCTGAGGAATCTCTTATTTCTGCTGCTTTATCGGACTGTTGGATATCATCGTAGCATTGACTATTGTGACTGGTTACTTTCGTTCCTGGAAGCCCCCCCGGACGACAAGAGCCTGCTACCTACTAATTCTGCATGGGCTCCGGCTGGAAGAGATATCATATCAACCCCTAATGCACACTACTGCAGGGTTAAATAAAGGGAGACGGGGCTGGGAGGGCCTGGTTTTTTTGCGGCCTCTGAGGAGGTAACGCTACACATGGGGGCTCGTCTGGGATTTCCTGCCTGGCCCCTCCCCTAAGTAAGGAAGTGTTAGTATTGTGTAGGGATATGAGCCAGGAGAACAATATGGACTCTAATGCAGCCACCAGGTGGTATGAGGAGCAGAATAGTGAAGTGAAGACAAGTGTAGTAGTGAAGGTCCCTGGTAATGTTTGGTCAGAGGAGCGAATTTTACAGACATTAAGGGGCGTTGTTCCAGACCAAAGGGTATATGTGATAAATATGAGGGTAAATGAGGATTCCCCCCATTTTTATGTACTGCTAGAATGGAAACAGAGCGTCCCAGAGTGTTTTGAGGTTCAAAGTCTGCAAGTAACAGAAGATACCAGGGTCGGGGTAATTTTTCTCACTGTATGGGGCATACCTTTGACCAAACCACTAGGCCAGAAGAAAGAGACGTGTGTTTCCCTATCTACGGGGGTAGCAGGAATAGGGGCTACCCAAGTGGGGGGAAATTTGGTTTCCATCCAAAATCCGACTGGAGGTTGCTGTACAGGGGCCGGATATAGGAAATTGCGTATTTTTTCAGGGACGCAACCGGTACCAGAAGGAGAAGAGGAATACGAAGCCTGGATGGAGCAGGCAATACAAGCAGTTGAGGAGTGGGATATACCGGATACCCAGAAAAGACAATGGGTTAGAACTTAAAGGGCCCTGCTGCAGAGGCCATTAGAAGTTTTAACATTGGGTCAGAGACAGTTTACTGTGTGTGACTACCTCTCTTTGTTGCATGATGAGTTTGGGTCAGTTGAGACGGTATCTAGTTTACTGTTCCAGTTAGAACATATGTATCAGAAGAGGGGTGAGAAGCTGTCTGAATATATAAGGCGCCTGAATAGATTATTATATCAGGTAGTGGAGAAGGGGGGATTGGACCCAGCTGGGGTGGAACAGGCCAGGATAGAACAACTCTCCCGGGGTGCTTTGGCTTTGGACCCTGTCTGGAGCCAAATAAAGGTTGAAGCTAGAGGGAATGCCTGGGGATATCACGAGCTTATAAGGAGGGTACGGGCAACCGAGGCTGTGGAGGAGGCTAAGGGAGTGACAGCTGAATTGCCAATAGGACAGCCCTTAGGCCCAGGAGTGAGAGAGGTAAGGAGGAGGATGACTGGATAACCACGATGCAAACCCAGATACAGGAGTTAACCAAGATGATAGCCTCTTGGTCAACAGTGGGTGGCCCACCCTTGCATGGAGGTCGGGTTGGAATAACCAATGGGAGGATGGGCCCACCCACCTGGGATAATAATCCAGTGAGATCAGTGGTCTGTTATAATTGTGGGGACATGGGGCATTATAAGCGCGTATGTCCAAAATCGTATAGAAGATCAGAGACCCCAGTGCATTCGGGAAATTGTCAAGGGCCCTGGGTGAAGGAGCTAGCTGGGCGCCTGGTGATATCAGTCAGCCCTGGTGAGAGAGGGTTTTCTTGGGAATCCTCAGCAGAAATGAGAGTAATGGGGGTATCCTCTCAGATAAGAAACCCCCATCCCCTTGAACTGGCAGAGGCTAAAGCCATGGCTCCTCAGCAGTTGGTGGACCCCTCCCTGGTGGTGCCGGTGCAGGTGGAGGGTATTTATACTAAGGCTCTTTTGGATTCAGGTGCGCAGGTGACGTTGTTATGTAGGGATTTTTATGATAAGTATTTGATGCATATACCCATACAGGAGTTGGGTGATTTGAATATCTGTGGTATTAGTACTGAAAAATTTCCCTATGATGGATGTTTAGCTATACAGCTGACGTTTGGGCCCTCTGTTGCTGGGCATACGGAGACCTTGGATACCTTGGCTATCGTATGTGCTCGCCCCCGGGAGTTAGTCAGGGTTCATTGATTGTGGGGACTAATACTAGTTTAATTAGACGGTTACTTGCCCCAGTCATTCCATTAGGGAAGGGCCCGATAGTGGGGAATGTTCATCCTGTGCTGCAGACAGTATGTCAGGGTTTGATGCGGGAGCAGCAGGGCCCTGCAGAAGGAGTGGGGCGGTTATGGAAATTGGATAAGAGAAAGAGGGTAATACAACCTGGGGAAGTGGTGTGCCTGAGAGCTTCTGTTAAGTTAGATTGGGAGCAGCCTGGGCCGTATCTCATTCTTGAGTCTGGCCCGAGGGGACAGAATGGTGGAGTGGAATTGATTCCAGAGGTAATCTCCATGCGGGTATTGAAGCAGGAAAAGGGGCAGATCTCAGTTGGAGTTCGGAATATCACAGGCCTCCCGGTGCGGCTGAAGGATCGGATGTTGTTGGGGCAGGTGAGCCCAGCTACTCCAATTGAGTCTCTGGATGGCAAGGGAGAGATGGAGGGAGAGGTTTCGATGGATCAGTTTTATCTTAGGAATACCCAACTTCCTCCTGAGTGGCGAGAGAGAGTGAGGGATCAGCGTTGGAGGTGGAGGCATTTATTCTCGAGAGATGATTTTGATGTAGACTGCGCTAGGAGTGCCAAACCTGAAATCCGACTGAGGGAGGATAAACCCTTTAGGGAAAGGTCCCGGCAGATCCCTTTGAGTGACTTAGATGATCTTCGGGAGCACCTAGCAGAGTTAAAAAGGACTGGGGTCATTAGGGAGTCTCGAAGTTCTTATGCTTCCCCTATAGTGGTGGTCCGAAAGAATAACGGGACCCTAAGGATGTGTATAGATTATCGTACCCTTAACCGGAGGACCATCCCTGACCAGTATACAACTCCTTGGATAGAGGATGCTTTGCAGTGTTTGTCAGAGGCAAAATGGTTCAGTGTGTTAGATTTAAGGAGTGGTTACCATCAGATCCCCATGCATCCAGAGGATAGGGAGAAAACTGCATTCATCTGCCCATTGGGATTTTATGAATTCAATCGAATGCCACAAGGGTTGTCAGGGCCCCCAGCAACTTTTCAAAGGCTTATGGAACGGACAGTGGGGGACATGAACTTGATAGAGGTGTTGGTCTATTTAGATGACATCATTGTCTTTGGGGAGACACTTGAGCAGCATGAGGAGCGTTTAGAGAAGGTATTGACAAGGCTTCAGGAGGAGGGGCTGAAATTGTCGTTAGAAAAATGTCAATTTTATCAGCCATCTGTCACCTATATAGGGCATGTCGTTTCGGCCGAGGGAGTGGCAACAGACCCCGCTAAACCTGAGGCCGTGATTTCTTGGCCTAGGCTCCAGAGTGTCACTAAATTGTGGTCGTTTCTGGGGTTTTGTTCATACTATCGGAGATTTGCGGAAAGGTTTGCTAAGATAGCTCGCCCGTTTAATGAGTTGTTAAAAAATGAAGAGGTAGGAATTCTTCCGGTGGATTAGCGCTGGCGATGGCGGCTACTTTGTAGCCATCCTCCTGAGAAAGCGTTAGAACCGCAGAGAACAGCAGGCATCAGCTGTTCCGCGGCTCAAAACCTCCTTCCCAGGCAAAGGGAGGGAGGGGAGTATCACCTGAATAGAGGTAGAGCCTCTGAGACCCCCAAGGAAGTTTTCTTTTGGGGG